CCAGCAGTTTTTATATTTCATTTAAATTAAAAACAAATATACTCTTGCTTATAGCACGCAAAGACTTCTCTCTTGAAATCTTGCTTCAAACTTTCAGCAACAGCTACTCATGACAAATTTGCCTTGAATCATGCCTTTTCAAGTGGATTAATACTATATGCATTTCAGAGTGGGTTAATTACATTCTGTAGCACTTTTTGTGAGTTTAACTATTTTTTTCACTGAGATTATTAGCCATGCACTTGTGAGCTTTATCCTACTCCCCCCTCCCAATAACAGGAGTTTGACATTGACTTCGAGAGTGTGAGGCCCATTCTTAAGGCAATATAACAAATAACTGGGGACATCTTCAGTTTTCTTTTTAAAGTCTTCAGCTAAGAATTCTCACAACAAACTTCAGACATTTTGATAAGAACAACACGTGTGTGTTTTGAAAATGAAGCTTGACTTAAATCAAAACCGAAAAAAGGAAAAATAATTTAGAAACCACTATTGAGTAAGAATTCCCATATTTCTCTCAGGAAAAAATATACTTCTTCCCTAAACAGCATTCTTTGTTAAATATTCTGAAGGTATTCTCAAACAGGGGCAATGCATTTCATTGCTGCTGTTTGAGCTTTTAAAACCTTGCCTTCCACAATCCAGGCATAAACTAAGAGTCTTCATTTAATATTGTGACTATAAAAGTCACTCTGGAAGACTGTTTCCCTTGGAGCTGCACTAAGAGGGACCTTCCAGGCAAAGATCACTCTTTGCTTACCCACCATGACTTGAGGGATGGATCTACTGCCTCTGCAGCATTGTCCTCTCTTGCTTCAGAGGCAAATGTGTGATGGAAAGACAGGTACAGTGGAATTCTAACAACTCCCATGCAAAATCTGCTCCAAAATTAACACAACATAAGGAATTATTCTCTTCACAATAGGATTCTTCCACTATGCTTCCTGGAATGAATACTGACTGTAAACACAATTGGATCTTAAACTCTTCCGGTACAAACTGATGCCCAAACCTTAAATGAAAAGCTCACACTCACACGTGCACCCATGGAGAACCTGAATACTTCGGGGGGTCTGTCTAGATGCAGAAAAAACTACCAGTAGAGGAACAGAATCTTGAATTTCTGCAGCTTTGTTATAATATTGACATATTAGGAAACCGGGTAATCTTTTCTCCCAAATATTGCTAGAGTTGTTACAGGAGTCCAGGGTCACCACTTTTTATCCCTACTTCAGATTATGAATACTGTAGAGATATATTGGTCATAGAAAGACTTATTTATATGAACTATAATAAAAAACAATCCATATTCCATAATTTGACTACTCATTGCTTTCAATATCCAGGAAGCCACGCTGCCTTAACTTATTCTTTCTACAATAACCTACCATGTTAGATAGGTTGACACTCCTACCATGTATTCTTCCCTGACTGTGTTGTGTTCCTGTAACAACCTTTCATTGTTGTCTTGTAAGCAGTAGCTTCCTGATGCATAATCATTATTAATGATAGCTTCACACCTATCTCTTCTTTTTTCTTAAGACACTTAAATCAGTGCAATTGATAGCAGTATTTGCTGTTCATAGATTCATAGATGTTAGGGTCGGAAGGGACCACAGTAGGTCATTGATTCCGCCCCCCTGCCTTGGGCAGGAAAGAGCGCTGGGGTCAGATGACCCCAGCTAGGTGCTTGTCCAGTCTCCTCTTGAAGATCCCCAGGGTAGGGGAGAACACCCCCTCCCTTGGAAGCCCATTCCAGATTCTGGCAACTCTTACTGTGAAGAAGTTCTTCCTAATGTCCAACCTAAATCTGCTCTCCGTCAATTTGTGGCTATTGTTCCTAGTTACTCCAGGGGGTACCCTAGTAAATAGAGAATCTCCTATTCCCTGGTGCCCTCCCCTAATGAATTTATAGCCAGTCACAAGATCACCTTTCAGCCTTCTCTTGCGAAGGCTGAAGAGATCTAGGTCCCTCAATCTCTCCTCGTAGGGCCTTGCCTGCAGGCCTCTGACCATATGAGTGGCCTCCTCTGAACCCTCTCAAGATTCTCCACATCCCCCTTGAAGTGCGGTGCCCAAAACTGGATGCAGTACTCAAACTGCAGCCTGACCAGGGACACACAGAGGGGAAGCATCACCTCCCTGGACCTGTTTGTCATGCATCTGGTAATGCATGATAAAGTGGGGTTAGCCTCGTTGATCACTTCGTCACATTGACGACTCGTGTTCATCTTGGAGTCAACTATGTCTCCAAGATCCCTTTCCGCTGCTGTGCTGTGGAAAAAGTCATCCCTCAGCCTGTAAGTGTGTTTGTGGTTCTTTTTGCCCAGGTGCAGCACTTTGCACTTGTCTTTGTTGAACCGCATCCTATTTCAATCTGCCCATTTTTCCAACCAGTCCAGATCCACCTGGATCCATTCCCTACCCTTGGTGTATTAACTCTGCCCCATAATTTGGTATCATCTGCAAACTTGGACAGGGTGCTTTTTCTGCCTTTGTCCAAGTCACTGATGAAGACATTGAATAGCACCAATCCAAGGACTGAGCCCTGCAGGACTCCACTGCCCGCATCTTTCCAAGTCAATATCGACCCGTGCACCTCACCACCACTCCCTGGATGCGACCCCTAAGCCAATTTGCCACCCACCCAACCATGTAATCATCTACATCACAGCCTGTCAGTTTACTTAAGAAAACAGAATGAAATACTGTATCAAAGGCCTTCTTAAAGTCTAGGTAGATTACATCTACCTTGACTCCTGCATCTAAGCATTTTGTGACCTGGTCATAAAAAGAAACTAGGTTAGTCTGGCAGGATCTACCTGCAGTGAACCCGTGCTGATTTACTTTCAGCATTATTTCCCCTGCTGGGCTCCCACAAATGTGATCCTTAATGATTTTTTCCAGAGTTTTCCCAAGGAAGAAGGTGAGACCAACTGGCCTATAGTTTCCCAGTTCCTCCCTCCTCCCTTCTTGAAAATAGGGACCACACTGGCCCTTTTCCAGTCCTCTGGGACCTGACTGGAGCACCATGAGTGCTCAAACAGCCATGACAGTGGCTCTGCTATGACACTGGCCAATTCCTTCAGCATTCTTGGATGAAGCTCATCAGGGCCCACTGATTTGAACACATCCAGCCCCTCCTCCAAGTGCCCCTTTGCTACATCTGTGCTAATAGTTGGTACACTGGTGTCCCTCCTGTGTCTATCTATGATCCAACTGGGAGATTTGTCTTGGTCTGTGTCTAGGAATACAGATGCAAAGAACTCATTGAAGAGCTCAGTTTTGTCCCCTCTTTCTGTCACCAATTGCCATAGTTTGTCCTGTAGTGGTCCTATGCTACCCTGTGCCTTCCTTTTGCTCCCTATATACCTGAAGAAGGACTTTTTGCTGTCCTTAATTTTTGTCGCCAGCCTAAGTTCTAATTCTGCTTCTGCCTTCTGAACTGATTCCCTGCTAGTGCAAGCCAGGGAGGTATACTCCTCCTTGGTAGCTACCCCCTGTTTCCACAACCTGTATACCTCTTTCTTTTGCCCTTAGGCTTTTCTGGACTTCCCTATTCAGCCAAGAGAGCTTCTTGGCCCCTTTGCCCCCTTTTATGCACAATGGGATTGCCTCCTCCTGCACCCATAGGATTGCTCCCTTGAGGAATGACCACCCACCCTGGACCCCCATTTTGCCAATGCTCTTGAGCTTTAAAGCCTCACTAACTAATCTCCTAAGCACACTGAAGTTAGCATTTCTGAAGTCTAGCACTTCAGCCCTGCTGGTTAGTTTACCCACCCTTCGTCAGATAGTGAATTCAGTCAATCGATGGTCTCTATCCCTTAGATTACCTTGGATTCCCCATCAGGTCATCCCCTGTAGCTAACACCAAGTCCAGCAAGGCATTTCCCCTAATGGGATCATATACCTACTGCATTAGGTGGAGGTCCTGTATGCAGGTTAAGAACCTACGTGAGCAGTTATGTGTTCCCTGCCCCAGAATCTGAGTCTACTATAGATCACCTTAAATTACGTCCAGCTGATACAGAACATTTCTAAATAAAGGTGTGATACTGAGCGAAAATGATTCCTGATATAAAACTGTTTACATGACTGAAGTTGGAGGAGGAAGATAGCCAACTCTACTAATCACCAGACAACTTGACACATGCTGACAGGCAGAGACAACCAAGAGAAGAAGAAAAATGATATTTGCTGCAACTATAACTTAGATTATAAGGAAACATTTAAAAAGCTACATACTTATAATGTGTTTCCTTTACCTCTAAGAATGTGGTGACAGCCTACAAGGGAGGAAGCATTTAGGATGGTGAAATAGGCTGTAAATTGGATGAAATTAAAGAAAGAAACAAATAAAACACATAAACCCAAAGCTGAGAATTTGAAGAAATTCAATTGTAAATTAATTTGTCAAAAACATGGAAGCTCCCTTTTAAAACCAGAATAGAAAAAACCTTTGGATACATGTGACAGCGAACACTTTCTATGATTCAGTAACATGAGAGAGTGTGTCAAGGGCAGATACGACGAAACAAATAAAAAAAGTGACGAAGGCTCACGTGGTGACCTGCAACTGCAGTGGATTGAACTCAATAAGCTCGACATTGCCTTCCAGCCTTCTTTTCCTATGCTTCTTAACTTGTTTTTTCCACTTAGATATTTTATTACTGGGCAATAATCACTACCCAGTATGCTGTTTTAGAGTGGGATGAATACAGCAAGTTTCATCATCACTAAAAAAGGGTGAAAACATACTATATACTTGTGCAGAAAAAGCTTTTTAATTTAGTGACATTATTTCTTAATTTACAAGATTGCTCAAAGTTATTCAAGTTTTTCCTGAACTAGCTCATACTTAAAAAATAAAAAGAGATGGCTTCTACAATTTCATCTTTTTATTTACCTTCAGATATCAGGAATCATGAAGTTCGGTATATGCCATTCAACAGCACACGTTATTAAACATGAGTATTTAAAATAAGTTTGCTCATTACCTGGGAGGGCAAGCTGCCATTTTACAAGGGATGACTCCAGTCACTGGCTGGCTTTTAGGGCTGCAAAGAGATTTATCCACTTGCACACGCATATCTCTGTAACATCCTTCCTTTGTTGTCATCTGACCTGTATTGAAGGGAAAACGAATTAAATGATACAAGTCCAAAGAAAAATATTACTAGAAATTATAGGTGATGCTCTTGGTCAGTCTTTGGAGTTATGCTGGAAGAACTTGGGCATTAAAGCAGAAAAAATTCAATACTGTAACCACAATTTAAGTTTTCTGTAAAGAAAGATGTTATTCTGTACACTCTATGCACTAGTTATTATCTC